AAAAAAAAAAAAAAAAAAAAGTATAAAATGCAACTACAAGACACTGGGTATGAACTGCTATTAGAAAGACATTCTAGCAAGATGTGTAAATGCAGCAGTGTCTGAAAACCGATGTATTTGCACTTATGTAAACCCACTTCTCTAATAGCACACCTGGGGGTGCTGCAGGTGTCTGAGCTCTGGTGTCTGGCCCTTTGGAGACTGGCTCGTCAGTTATAGGCAATCCTGAATTTTTTTGTCCAGTTGTCCTTGCTGAGCTGGATGGCATGAGCAGTGGCTTGGGCAGCACGTGTTCCCTCAGGGTTACAACTGAGCCCAGCCTGCTCTGTTGGATGACAACCAGGTCTGCTGCTGCCGTCAGCATCTCTCCAGTTGAGTAGAAGCCATAATTTTGGACACGCAACGGGAAGCCGAAGCAGCGTAGGAAGCTGGCCTCCAGCTCACACAACCTGAGCGAACCCTAGGAGAGCAGCTGCGTCATAACTCTGAACATTCTGTAGTGACAGAGCCACATGATTTTGCCATTTTGACACAACAGCCGGTCTGGCCTCCCTGTATCCGATTTGGTTGGGTGGATTTAAATAATGTACTGCAAAACTATTGTGAACAATCTGACACCACAAGGCCAAAAGAAACTGAAAAACAAATCCTCAGAATCAGTTTAATTTTGTTCATTATTTGTCACATTTTTAGGGGAAAGAAGGCCGTCTTAGTGCCATTTTGTGTCTTGGTAGCTTTAATCAAACAGCTGATAACAGTCCAACCAATTTAAAGAGCCCATCTTATCATGGAGAATACATACAATGGGCGATGTAAGAAACATTGAACCATGAAGTTATACCTGGGACAGCAGTATGAGGAGCTGTGACCTTAGCTGGACAGGGAGACCAGGAGGAGCATGCCCTCTTCTGGGTAGCACTACAGGGGGGGCATTTTGACAGTAGTATGGTGAGAAGTAGCTGACACCTCCCCTCTTGACTTTTTTGTTAGTCTTTGAGTTGCGCTGCTTAGCTAACAGCTCCCCAATGTTTCGAGTAGACTCATCACCAACAGCTGTAATGTAAAAACAACTTGTTCAGGTGTTTGAAAGAAATGAGAAGTTAGGATCTCTGTATCAAACACTACTAAGCTTTAGTTTAATCCAATGATATGAATTAAAAAGTTACTTAATAACAAAATGAGCACTGATCTAACAAAACAATAAAAAGACTTTACCCGTTAAGAACAGGCTATTATCAGCCCTGAAGCTAATAGACACCACGTCAGGCATCTGTGCTACCATATCCATGACGTTTCTGAAGCCCAGGAGCTTCAGGGGCAGGCGATGCCCCACCCTTGCCTCATAATCATGCCTGAGCTGATGGGGGTCTAAGCCCATCTTGGATGACATGAGCAAGGAGCGGATATCTTTCTTCAGCTTTGCCAAAACCTCTTCCTGGTTCATCTTGCCTAGTGACATCAGCAGAATACAGCAAGAGGACAAATACTGCAAAACTTACTATACAGCCTGAACATCCAGGTGATTACTGTGATATGAGGAGCAGAGAAGAGGAACAGCCAAGTGCATAATGATGCAAGAAAACTACTACTTATTGCTTCGACTCGTCTTATTGCTAAAACATATTGAATGAACTTTTTGAACAAAATCATATGATCAGATTTTGCACTGAAATTAGATTGATGAACTTGTCGAATTTATTCGCTTTCATTGATCTTTAATTGTTACCGTACTCTTATCGTAACCCCAGCTGGTGACTCTTATGTATTACATACACTCGAAAGAGTCACCAACTGGGGCTACTCTTAGCACAGTAACGTTAGCATACATATATTATACTTTTCATGCATTATGGTCCAATAAACGGGTAGAACCTCGATAGCTAACTCAGTAAACTTTAGTCTCGCCTGGGAAAACAGGACGTATAGTTCGTGATAGACGACGGTGGAGTTAAGTGTGCCCGCAATTTTGCCTAATTTAATTAACAATGTATTTAAAAACAGTTACATTTTTCCACATGTGCTGTGGACATAACGTTACCCCAAGTCTTCAATATCTTTGCAGCCTTTTCCTACGTAGCCCACGTTGTTTGCTTCGACACTTGCTGTGGCTGACGTTAGCAGTCCGGTATCTGCTCAAGTGTAAAAACGGCAAGGACGGTGTTGTGTTTTCAACTGATAACTCGTATTCATCAAAGTCTACAAGAATATAGTTTAAAATAAAGACAGGTTTCTTTCCGTTTGCTGGCGTAACGAAGAGAGATCGTGAAATTAGTATCAGTACCACAAACAGGGATCACTTACCGCGCAAAGTGTCTGACTAGCTAAAAACGCAGCACAAAAATGAACCCAGCCTCCTTAACTCACATGATCTCATTGACAAGCGCTGGACATGTTTCTAAGATTTATCACTTCTAATTGTAGGCTAAGTCAAATTAGGTGTCAGGTGACACTTTTGGTTTCTGGAAGCTACATGCAAATATTGGAATGAAAATCTTGGAAAATGAGAGTCATCATTTTACATATTAGAATAACACAAACTGGACAGAAATTACCATCATGTTTCTTTAATTAACAATTTGTTGATAAATTAAACTGTGACAGTTTCAGTTTGACTAATCAAACTGGGACCGCTTGACAACAAATTGTTGGACTGGTTTTTGTTGGGAGTCCACTGCTTACAGTACTTGACACTGTAAAGTGCCATTAACTCATGCTTTAGATTTGCTATGACCGGGGGTCACTATATGTGCACAGGCCTTTTGGTTGGGTTTTCTCACAGCTAGATTTGGGACTTCTATAACAGAAGAATGTGTGGGCCACAGAACTCATTTTCAGTGTAATTAAGGTTGCATTAGGGAGGATATTGTGTGTACCGTACATCATGAGTTTAGAAAAAGACCCTTGAGTCTGCACATTCCCACTGAAGAGTCAGTGACTCCCTGAGCTCCAGTGACGCTGAGAATTTTATTTTCATGTTTCTGTGATAGGATTAAGGGCTCCCAAGCTGAAATAGCTAAAGAAAACGTTTGATTGTGTCAAGAAAACCACACACACACTGATGCAGATTGTTGGATAGCAATTAACAGGAATTATGCACATAAATGAAACACAGTATTACTGAAATAAATTCATCCAGCAATCACTGCATGTTTTTATTTTATGTCTGATAAAGCATTTAAGTGAAATTGGGGGAAAAGGAGAGAGTTTGTTTTTTTTTTGCTGGCTAATCAAGTGATGATCTGCAAATGATAATTATTGTATCTTGATTTTTTATTCTATTATCTTAACATTTTCTTTTATTTTAGTTAGCTGGTGGAAATAGTTAACTGAATGACATGCTCATAAAAGTTCACTGACCTGAAATGTTTCGAAGTACAGGGAGGTGGCACTCCCACTGCCATGTTTTACTCCCATATACAAGCAGGCTAACTCACCATCCATTCTCTCTCATTACCATAGTAGATAGCTGTGCCCCTGACTCTGGTAACAGATCTCAAACCAGAGGAAACAACTTACTGCAGTAAAGGTCATTATAATTATCCCTCCTCTCTGGCTTTCACCCAAAAAGAAAACCCTCGACTAGCCCATCACACAGAAACATTCTAGCAGCCAATACCTCTATGAGCCTCGAGCCAGCATGGAGAAGTCCTTCAACGTCCACCCGAGACACCTGCCAAGGAAGGAGAGGGAGCAGGCAGCAGTGGTGACTCCCAGAAGCCACCGGCAAAAGGCATCCAAAGCAAGCCGGCCCCACAACACCTCAGCGAGCAAGGAGAGCGCCCAGAAGGAGAAGCCAGAGACAGATGAGATGATGTCAGACCAGCGGACAGAAGTGAGGCTCAAATCCACCGTGGTGGACATAGACAGTGTGAGAGATGACAAAGTCAAGGAGGAGAACCTGGGACTCTTGGAAGCAGCCGAACAGGAAGACGGTGAGTCAAAGCCTGAAGAAAAGCCTGGTACGTTGTTTATGCAGTAAGTTTATTGTTCTCAGGATGAAGAAAAATTTTATCTGGTGACCTGAGATATTTGTTGGAAACTTTTATGTAGAATATTTTAAGCATATATTCTGGAAAAAAAAATCAAATAAATCTGAATATCTTGTTTGGATTTCTTCATGTGAAATACTGTGTATTTCTGCAGGTTTGAAGCACAAGAACCTAGGAGTGTTTGAGTGGCTGCTGATGGTCTTCGTCTTGGCTCTAGTTCTTCTCTTCCTCCCTTTCTCTATCTGGTTCTGTGTTAAAGTACGAACTACACCACATATAAAACTTAAACTAAATGCTGTACCGTAATCTACTTCACAAATATTACTGTGATTTCTTCAGTAGAAAGTATGTGAAGTATTAGTCTGAGGAAAAACAATTTGACACTTACAGTTTGTGATGGGCCTTCGCCCGATTGTCGGCTGGAATTGGTTTCAGCCCCTCCCACGGCCCCGTTTGGGACTGAGCGGTATAGAAGATGAGAGAGAGAGAGAGAGTTTGTGATGGAGAAATAAAGGTGTGGATGGCAGATGAATTAAGTTTATTCAGATCAAACAATCTAAATTGGAATCTTCTCACTAAGAGAATTTCATACTGATTTAACTCTAAGCTGGTAAGAAATGTGACTAGCTGGTGAAAATGTGTTAATTCAAGTAAAATAGATAAACAGGTGAATATTGGGCACGATATTAGAGTCAGAGTCAGCATTTTCATCTTATAGATGTTATTTTATTTACAATCCAATTTACCAGTGAATACTGCAGTACCGCCCATAGAGTGTATACAAATATATGGGCGTATTGGTTACCTATATGGGTGTCAATTTACTATGGATCAGGGTGTATGTAACGCTTTTTCTTTTTCTGCTTAAAGCCACATCCTTTGCTAGTTTTGAAAGAAAATTAAAACTAACTCTAGACAAAATCTTAAATGTCAGGAGAGAGGCCTGACTCACAACCCTAACTAAAGGCAAAAGAAAATGGCCAGGTTATCATTACTCCAGCCATCACTGTCACTGGGCTGTTTGACTGAAGGCTGTCATTTTGTTTGACAGGTAGTGAGGGAGCATGAGAGAGCTGTGGTCTTCAGACTGGGTCACCTTCTGCGTGGAAGACCCAGAGGACCAGGTTAGCACAGATTCCTGACCTTTTGTCATGATCATCTCTTGGCAGTGATTTAAAAACTCAAGTTTTGACTTGTCATAGGAAAAAAAAGGTGTGACCGATATTATTAATGATGTTAAACCATTCTGGGTCACAGGTCCTGAATGCTAATACAGACAGTATAACAATATACGTGAAAGAAAGCTGACCATGGTATCACCACCCTCTACTCTTTCCAGGTCTCATTTTCTTCCTCCCGCTCCTTGATGTGTGCCACAAAGTCGACATCCGACTACAAATGCTGAAGGTTCCTACTCACACGGTATAGCACAACAAACACACACACACTAGACACAGAAACATTCACACTTAGTTCTGTGTATGAGAATGAAATAGCAGTTAAAAAAAAACACTAAAGTAGAATGCTGTCTGATTTTTTTTTTTTTACACGTCTGTACACAGGTGGTGACAAAGGATTTGGTGAGACCAGAGCTAAGTGTGGTGTGTTATTACCAGATAGAGAACGTGACTTTGTGCAGTGCAGCTCTATCCAGTCTAACCACAGTGCTGCAGACTCTGGTTCAGTCAGCGGTCAGAGACGTTCTTGCTCTACACACATTCGGCCACATCCTGCTGCACAGAAGGAGGATTGGTCAGCAGATACAAGCCGCTGTCGACTCAGTTGCTTGCCGCTGGGGCATCAGGGTGGAAAGAGCAGACATGTAAGAGTGAAGATCAAAGTCCACACAGATCTTATTTTATATTTAAGTGGTAACACTAAAAATGACAAATGCCATTACAGTACACCCAGTGGGATTCTTGTCTACCTTAGTAAGTGCAGAAAGTGATCTATGCTCCTGTATGATTGTTCAACATAGCAGTAGCTGCAGGGAGGAGCTCGTCGATTCTGAGGGCCTGACAGCAGAACCTGGCTTTAACAGCTGACCTACAAAGAATCAAGATGATTTTTGAAGAAACTTATCAACCCAAAGAAAAATAAACTGATTTGTACAATACAAAGTGACATTTTCTGTGTCTGTAGGATTTTTTCCTCTGCATGCAATGATTGTTTCAGGCAAACAGCAAAGACGAATGCTGAGATTTGTGGTGATCTTCC